CTCTAGGAGACACTCAATGCTCAAGATTTGCAAGCTGTGAAATCCACCTCAGCAAGGTCAAGGTTCTTCTCAATTAGAGAAAATGCTGCCCTAAGAAAAAGCAAACACTCCCACAATCAGTGTTACCTGTCTGACTTCAGCTACCGGAACGAAACCTCGAGGAATCTCGTTTAAGCTGTAAATGTGCAATAAGCAGCAGTTTGGGTCTGCGATGTTGGAGTCACCAGTGCAAGTTTAACAGTTTAATGAAAACATAAGCCATTAATTTCAGGCAGTTATTTTTAGCAGCTGCAGAGCTAAGAGAGAAACAGTGCTGGTGGAGCCAAGAAAAACACAAACAAGGATGGCGTGAGTCTCTCTGCATCCCCCCTCACCCCTGCCACTGCAGCGCTGACCTGCCCTTCCCTCTGCCACACATGGGTCCATCACAGCCCCCCTGCACCCCGGGGGCAGGTACTGCAAGGCATGGGCCTTGATTTTCGACTATGCTGGTGGTGTTGGGATAACCAGCTGCCTCACAAGAGGCAGCTACACTACAACACCAAACAGTGTTCACTTACTTCATGCAGTTTTTTTTATCTGGGATCTTCCTTCCATGATGTAGCAACCTCAAAGTGTCACCCTAGGTAAAATTAGCCTGGAGAGACCTTGTACCATCCCACAGTCCGTGTGTGTGTGTGTATATATATATATATATATATATGTGTATATATTTTATAAATCAGAAGCTCCAGAGTAGGAAGGCCAACCCAACTTTGGGTCAAACCCAAATCCAAGTCACTACTTCTGTTTGCCTCTTACCATACCAGATGGCACACCTGCACTTCTCATCATGGGTAGTATCGCCTGTCAGTTTACACTGACATTAAAAGGGAAGTCAGATCTTGAGGCTAAATGTGTTATCATTTGTTTTTGAAAACAAACAATAGGCAAAGCTTGATTTACTCTGTGCATAACCTAGAGCAAAATCTATTTTCAAGAAAATAAGTGCTCCCTGAGACAAGCATATACAGAAGAAAGAAGCAGCTGGGTTTTAGCAGCACATTTGTTTCTATGTGCCCAGATCAGCTCCCATCAAAGGCTAAACCCGGGGATGGATGTTTGCCTAGCCCTGTGGTGGCTGACTGCAGCAGCAGACGGGCCCAGCAGCAGATGATGCTTCCTGGAGGGGTCTGGCAGCAGCATGGGCTCCCTGGCAGAAAGCAATCCCTGGCAGGCACCTGATGGCCAGCCAGTGCAGGGGGGAGGGTCAGGAGGCACCAGTGGTTCTGAGCAAGGCCAGTCCTGCAGCTGTGCCAAGGGAAGGAAAGCCTTCCTCCTCTGTCCAGGAAGATATCCCCCTCTTCCTCAGATTAGTTTGTAATTTTAAGAAGTAACCACGCTGTGGGAGAACTCCCTCTGGCAAGTCTGTAACTAGAAAGATTACACAGGAAATGAGAGATAAAAGGCTCGGTCCGAACACCCGACTTGCAGAACCTGTGGTTCAGATCTGCAGGCTCCTGCCAGGCCCACAGGACGGACCCAGGCAAAAGACAGCCTCTCTCTGCAGAGACCCTCCCACACTTCCCAAGCTCGGTGGTCTCTAGGGAGAGCTCAGCCACCCACTCCCCACCCAAGCCCTCGGCTACCCCTCACGGACCACACGGCAGCTGCTGCCCTGCACCATGTCTTTGCCTTTCCCCACTTCACACCACGGCCCCACACAAACACCTTCCCACTCTCTCTGACAAATGCCCAAGCCCCTGCTCCACTCCCACCTCCCCCAAATCCTGAGCTGGCACAAATGGTGCCTCAAGGACAGAAATCTCTTGGCGCCCTTTTGCCATTTCGTGCACAAAGAAGGGAGCCTACTGGTCTGGCAGATCTCTCGGCACCTTCTCTCTGCTTTTATTTTTAGCTTTGATTTATCTCTGGAGGCCACACAGGCCTTGGCAAGGAAGCAGTCTCGCACCATCCCACGCAGAGGACAAATGAGCAATCAGAACAGTCCCTCAGGAAAGAGAAAGGGCTTCTGAAACGTCACTCTCAGCAGAGCTGCCATTTTACCACAAACATTCACACCATATTTTGACCCGAAGGGAGTCTATCGAGTCTTAGATAAAAATTCAGCCATCTGGCCCCTTCTTCACACTCTGGCACCAGCGCGGCAGGCGCCAGCAGCACCGCAGCCGCGGCTCTTCTCCTGCAGCCACCCACCTGGCATCACAGAGCAAGGGACATGCCACGGTGGCACAGCCAGAAACACCACCATGAGCAGGCTTTAGGAGTGCATGATGTCTTCAGGAGACCCACCTGGTCTGAAACGGTGCCTGCCCCACTGTGTGGCTCTACAATTCAGAGTCTCCTGCGCTGGGACTCTGCGGGGGCAGGCAGCAGGTCTTGAAGGAGGGAAGGCAGGGTACAAGTTGGAACGCAAGACTTACAGGAAAGGTAGGATGGCTCCAAACTGACACCAAAGGGAGAGGGGTAAAAGGGGAATGACCAGCTGTGGTGGGGGTGGGGCTTAAGAACAACAACAAAAAGTACTTCTTAGATATGTCACTGAAACTCTACTATGTCCCTACAAAGCAAGTGAAATCTGCTGTCTGCGTTTGCATCTGATTATCACTTACACTCTGGTGAGAGTTAAAAAAAAATAACTTATGAAGACAAGATGAATATATATCCCATTAAAGTGATTAAATTTTCTAGTATTTGCTTCCAAAGCATGCATTACCCAATGTATGCTTGATAAAAACTTTAATTGCTTTGCTTTGCATTTAATGCATCCTTATGTGATCTTATAATGCAACTCTCTCATCATATACAGATGACACAGAAATTCACACCTGAAAATGTTTTCTTTCTGGAGAAATAAAAGAAAAAGCCCTAATAAAAAAATTAAAAAAAAAGCCTCACTAGTTTAAATTTAAAATAAAAGTAATGAAAACCAACAACTACTGATTGTAAGCCACCAGTGTTAAGAAGCACGTAAATTAATGATGACATGACCACAGGAACAGATACATGTGGGTCCAATCGTGCAAAGCCAAGCTCATACATGTCTTCATTTCCTACACTCCAGGATCTGACTTTCCTACAGACTTGCTTGAAAATGCTGCTATCCATGTGCTTCAGTATGAACAGCTACACTACCAAACAGCTCAGGAACCTGTGCTCCTCAGTTTGCAGAAGTTATATAGACAGCAGCTAGTGCAAATAGTAGAAGGCTGATTTCCTAATTAATTTTTAAAAAAATGAAAAAAAAAAAAAAAAAAAAAAAAAGCCCATACATTAGCCCCAAACCCTGTTTCTCAGAGAAGTATCTGCCTTCAACATTCCGAAGACTGAAACAAATCACGGCTGCGTTTATCAAGGTGCCCTCTTCTGGCGTTTTGAAAAAAGTCATCTTGCTGTCACCCGGTTTTTTTGAAAGGGAGAGTTACCAACATAAGTATCTCTTTGTGCAAATATTCCATTTATTTAATAAACTGGCCAGAAAAATACCACCACAGACCATTCTTGATACCATACAAAACATGTTTTAAAATCCTTCAGTTATGTCTCAGTTTATAAAAATAACATATAACACTAATTCTAGAAATCTCAGTAGATACACATTGTTACCCTGTACAAGTTTAGGCATAAGGCATATTCTGCCCAGACGGATGGAGAGTTTAACCCTGTTCACACCGCACTACCAAAGTCCCAAGAACCGTTTAATAAAAGTAATCTCAACTTTTCTGCTAAACCAAAGGGAAATGAAAAACTACATCAAGAAGCACACTCATTGCCATGGCAAAGAGACATTTTTACCATTTCTTGATAAATATGTGCACAGTTTATCCAACACTGGAGGAACATTCAAGAATTTGTCTTTTCCATGGAAACCTCTGTTTTAAAAAGTATTGGGTTTTAAATTAAATATAAAACAAGCACACATGGAACTAAATAAAGCTTTTAGGCCATTTCTACATAGAAAATTTCTCACTTTTGGAGCTTTGGTAGGAAGTTTTTTTGCTTGTTTTTTTGGTTGTTTTTTTTTTGGGGGGGAGGCACATTTGTTTGGTTTGATTCTACAGGCCCACTAACCTGAAGGCAACTGTCAGCACTGTTGCATTCAAAGTGGCCAATTCAGCCTGGAAACGTTGCAGCATACGGTAGCTCACCTGGCAAACAAGGTTTATTCCAATTGAATAGAAGTTGCACAGAGCTTTTGGAAATGTAACTCATTCCAAAGTGGAATTCTGTCTGTTCCAAACTGGATTCATTATAAACACATAAGCTGCAAGACAAAGCTACAATTACTACATCTGTGTTATATGCACGGTTGTTACTGTCAGGGAAACACAAAATACCCTTTCTGTAGAAGAAGGCCTTAATAAAAAGTATTTTCCATTCTCATAAAGAACACTTCAACAAGTAAGTTTCTTTAAAGTAAAAAGCCACAACAGAGTCAGTTTGGAAGTCAAAAAACATGTGATTTTAGATGGTACTAAACTTTTTTCCCAAGGGTATCCTCTTCCTCATGATTGAGCATGTAGATATAATTTCCCCTCTATAGGCACGTGAGTGGTAAAACACATGCTCATGAGACCTTGGAATTGCTATACTATAACTCAGTACACAGGGGCACTACACAGTATCTGAACTTGGGGTAATATTCTTCAGTTTGGCAATTCTTTGTTCAGGTAAGAAAACAGAAAGGAATAAAATCAAAACAGTTGTTGTCTAGCTGTGCTAACAGTACTTCAGTCACTGCCCACCAGACAATGCAGGCTTCAGGCTATGACTTCATGAATGCATTTGTTAAATGCCCTGTTAAGCAACAGCTTGATAGTTAATGTTCCCATTGCATTGCTAATTGCCAGCCAACCACCACAAGTGACCAACTCCCACAGTGCTCTTCTTCTCAGGATGAGGAAACGCTCTGGTGAAGAGCTACACATTTCTGCAGGTGACCGAGGATGACTTCTCCCAAAACCGTTCTTCTGCATTGCAAAAGTCAGTCACTGTGATTGGAAGTCAGTCTCTGGCAACAACAAGAATGGGGGTCTTTAACCTCAGCATCCTGACGCAAGGATACTTTCACCAGACCTCTTAGTCACAGACAGAGTGGTGAAGACCTTAAGAGAAAGTAAAAAAAGACAAATTTTAATATGGCCAGAATTAATATTCTCTTGTAGAAAATCAACATGGGCACAATGCTTGAAACCACAACCATTTCTTGAAATAGAAAAAATAATAAAGAAAATAATATGGTTAGAACCCTCGCTACTAAATAGCACCCATGCATGCAACACCCTTTGTTCTCTTCCTTTACCTCACGGTCTTCTTTTATGGTGTAAAAGAAAGAATTAAGAAAGTCACGTGGCTTTCTATCACCTTTTTGTCTTGATGCTTGTAAATTTTTAACAGTGGGAGTTAGCTCAGCAATAATAAACTCTAGTCTGCACATTTAATGAAGGAGTGTCTTTATGGTTCAAAGATAATGCCTTTGTTGGGAAAGTGAATTTAAATCAAGGCTACAGCATCAGGAGAGAACACAATTTTTGCCTCTGTACATTTCTAGATATTATAGAAACATGGAACTGGCTGCTGATGTAGGTATTGTGTCTGGGATTTGCATCCTCTGGACAATAGTTAAGAAACACTTGTAAATCTAGTTTGGAAAAGCCCAATCTTCACTGCTTTCAAGTCACACTAAATAAAACATTTTCAATATAAAAATTCAAGAAAAATTCTACAAAACCTTGTTTAATATTAGAACTTTACTATGCAAATAATTGCAGTGTTTTGCATAGATATAATATTGAAAGGAAAAAAGGAATTCAAACGCACTTCTAACTAAATGGTTCAAAGTTGCAATAATTAGCTACCATCAAAGCCATCTCTCAGGAAGAGCAAGCTTAGCACAGAATGAAGTATATACACATTTCAGTTACGCAAATAACTCTGAAGTATCTCAAGATAATGGGGATCTAAAAGACCTACAGTTCTCTAAGTAGAAGCTATTGCTGCTAGCAGCCCTTCAGAGAACACCAATAATAGAGGATATACCTTTTCCACTTTCTATAAGCATGTAAAGCATTACACACAAACCAGGAAGACAAAGGCAAGTCTAATATATATTGCAGAAGAACAGCAATATATTTAAACTACAGTGCATGGCTTGAGACAGGTCTTCTAACAGTCTGTTGATCAGAACTGAACAAACAACATTTATTCTTATTTCACTTCAAAAGACAAAGATTAAAAAGTGGAAAAATTATCTTTTTTTTTTTTTTTTTTTTTTTTTTCTTCTCAGCCTGATTGCAAATTCTAGGTTCATCCAGTTCCAAGAGCTGCAGGTAATATACAGTTCCCTAACTCCAGTAAGCCAGCTGGGAGTAATTTGATAATTATTGGAATCATGAGGGTTTTTTACAGAATTTTTTCATTATTTGAGTAAAGATAAAACCTTAGATCAAATGACTGGAAAGCAATCATTAGCTAAGTTGAAGAATCATTCCAGCTTTCAGAAGACACTTTCTCTTCATCACCAATGCTCAACTCTACATGCCTGTATTTCAAGCAGAGCAGTACAGACTAGGCTGACAGGTAATTCTCTGTAGGCTGGGGTCCAGCCAATGTGTCCTTACACTTACTTGTATTTTGCTTTGCAAGAAATTCCACACAGAGTTGAGGCTTTCTGCAGAAGTTGCTGCTCAAATAAAAGAGAACTGAAATCTGGCTCTGGTTTGTAAGCAGTGAGAAACGGGACCCCCAGACTTAGAGATGTCTTCAAGATGAGTAATACCATGTTTCACAGGATACACTTTGAGCACATGAATTAGCACTAACACCAGTGAGGATGTCAGCATTTGACCCTACAACACTGTCCCTTTTCTGTTCAGACCAGACGTATTTTTCCTTAGTTTTTACATGAAGGTAAGATAAAACCCAATGCTGATACTATCCATTCTATTCATCCAGGTATGCACAGTCCTCACAAATTCAAAAAAATTTTTACACCTTTTTTTAATCCAAGAGTACCATCTTGCACTTTTTGTTTAATGCTGAAGAGATTAAATTAAGCAACAGACATAAAAAAACCTTTTGAAGACTGGCACTAAAAATGATTACTGTTCCCTGGAGCTTTTCAATAGTGTATTTCTCCTGAGCCAATTTCTTCCTCCCCCATTCAAACAAATATGATTATCTGAAATTAACTCCCTAAATTATGTTAATCACCATTCTATTCAGTTTCAATTTTAGCAGTTCAGATGTCCTGAATAAATTATGACCATCATCCTCTTTTTGCACAACATATGCTAATATCCTGCTG